CATGAGATATCAGAAAGAAAATGGATGTTCTATGTGGGTGTGGCATAGAAAAGGCAAATACAGGTAGTCCTCACTTAATATTCACAAATGAGCCTGGAATTATGATTGGTAAGTTGAGGTCATTAAGCAGATCACGATGTGACCTTATTCGATTTTACAATTCTTTTTATGATGCTCACAAAATGAATTACCACAGTCATTAAGCGAACCACAAGGTCATTAAGCAAATCCATTTGCATGCAATGGACATTTTTTGCCGGAAACCAGACAAAAAAAACACCCCACAAAGTACAAAAAAAGAAAAAAGAAAGAAAGCAAATTGCAGTTATACAACCACAGGACACTGCAACTGGTCATAAATACAAGCCAGTTGTCAAGCACCCGAAATCCGATCATCTGACCACAGTGTGTATGTGTGCAGCAATCATAGATTTGAGGATGAATTGTCATAACTGAACAATTGTGAGGACTGCCTCCATTCCCATATTTTGGAACATAAGTAAGAGTATAACTTTATAGTACTTATATTAGCCACAGAAATCTAACTTGTTCTTTACATTTCCATTAGGGCACCCCTCAAAGAGGAAAACAAGGGCCATAGCCCAGTGGTTACTTGGGAGTGGCACACCTTCCCCTTTTAATTTCTCACCTTCCTTGCAGATGGGGCAGCAATGGCCTTTCTCATAGATGGGATTGACACATGGTGGAGGGGCACAGTCTGCTACCAGGCAGCGGGCAATTCCATCCAATTCGCAAGTACACTGCTCACATTCAGAGGGCTGTGGGGAGAACAAAGATTGGTCAATGGGACACAGCAGTTTTCAATCATTCCTCTATGTGCACAACAGCATTGGAAGAATTTATTCCCAAGCGGTGCCCATCCTGTGTAATACTTTGCAACATACGTATTTTTACAGCCTGACGCACTTATTTTGAAGGTTATTTCTGCACTGTCACATTTGTCATTCTGCAAGGTTCTGGAAGACGCCTTCTGGGCAAGCTTGCCTCTTCTTTTTCTTCATTCTCTCACTACAGTGACTCTCTTAGTGCTGTGTGAACAGTTCACTATCACCGCAGTCACCTAGTAAGTATTTGTAAGACATAATCAGTCCCCTTTAAACAAAAACTTGACAGAGGCCACCTTTTTAGAGACAAACAAGAAAAACTGATTTCAGTATTGATCCCATGCTTAAGCAACTTCCTTCTTGCTTACTCACACTTCCCTTTTCAGGTCCTGCAGAAGTTTCTTCCAGAAAGAGTTTTTCTAAAAAGCACTAAGAATAAGATGCTGCCATGTTGCTATTGGGATCCTGCCAGCTGAAGAACCTCATATTTATGCTCAAATCTGCCATAATAGTGTTACGGCAACAGGTGTTTTTTTTTTAAAGGCAAGTGTGTGATCCAAGCAAGTGGGATAAAGACATGCCCAAAAGATTTATTTGGCAGAGATGTCACTTCTCCATAAGTGATACATTTTACCACTATTTTCACATTTTTCTGCAATTTTGCAGCACTTGCAAATGTTTTCATAGACTTCACAATACTAAGATGACACCATCAGAGGGCACCATTCATTCATTCAGGTTGGCTTCAGTTTTAGGAGAAATGCAAGCCTCCAATAGAATCTCTTGAGCTATTAGCCACCACTTTTATACAGTAGGAAAAATAAATAAATTTATGTTCTGTTTGTGCATGTAAAGATTGTGGTGTGGCATTTCACAGCAGGATGTACTAAACACATCTACAACAATGGATGCGATCCAGTAATCCTATGACAGGATCTGCACTTAAATACTCAACAAAGATGTTACTGTTATTTTCAGTTCATTATATCTCTAGTTAGTAGCAAAGCCTACCTCTAGTTTTAGGGAAGCCAAACTAATGATAATGAATAAATATAAATAAATAACAATGAGCTAGACCCTATCCTCTTGTTCCCTTCCTGCCAGCTACCATATTTACTTAAAGATAAAACCCTCACATTATTCTTCGCTGTATTAAATTCTTTCTCCATTGGACCAGCAAATGGTTATATAAACTCACACCTCTATTGAACTGTTGGAATCATTTTAGTTGGCCCCATGGACATTATATAGGCCTGTTGCCAAAAGACACAATCAGAATCATAAAACTAAAAAAAAGACTTGTTTAATATAAGATGCTTTCCATGGCTTCTTAAAAATCCCCAAAGACTTTCCATATCTGATTTGGCAAGATGTTGCCCTATTCTAGTGATGTAGAAAAGCATTTTTTTTCCTTCTTCCTAAATTGCTTGTCTTGTTTCTTATACTAAAATGTAATCACCTTCAGCTAACCACATATTTTTAAAAAAGCTATTTGCCAGCATTTCACTTTTAAACAGATGCAAGGTGTTACACAGTTTTATTGTTACTTTTACTAAAAATCAAACATGCAATATTGTACCCATCAGAGGTGGTATTCAGGAGGTTCTGACCAGTTCTGGAGAACCGGTAGTGGAAATTTTGAGTAGTTCAGAGAACCGGCAAATACCACCTCTGACTGGCCCCACCCCCATCTATTCTCTGTCTCCCGAGTCCCAGTTGATCAGCTGGGTCTTCTTTTGTTGCCCTGCACAGGAGAACAGAGCTGGAAAGCAGGTTAGTGGGGTGGGGAGGCTATGGAGATTTTGCAGTATCCTTCCCCTGCCACGCCCACCAAGCCACACCCACCAAGCCACACCCACAGAACCGGTAGTAAAAAAAATTGAATCCCACCACTGGTACCCATCTCTAAAAAGTTCTGGGCAAAGTTCAAAATTTAGGCCTCTAAAAGGGCTGTTCGTGCCTCACAAACAATGGAAGGAAGCACTCTTGTTTCAGCAAGCTTGAAAACAAAAATATGCCACTTTTTAAAGTGAATTAACTTTAATGAATTTAAAACAGTTCTGTTGGCACAGAAGCATGAAAAAAGTTGGGGCTGCTCTAATGAATAGGGGAAGAGGCTTACTCATGAGATCCAAAGCACTTCTCTCAAAACATTTTCAATCTTACTCATGAAGGGGTGAGAGGAAAATTAATGGGAAGGGAAATAAATATTTTTGATGAACTAGACTCTATTTCCTCACTGCAAAACGTCTTAAGAATACTCAGCAAAATTGACAGCAAGGACATTATCTGCCCACTGTCCAGTTATGAGGCTTTGCCCCTCACTTCATGGGAGTGATTCATGAGATTCTACAGGAGTAGTAGAGCAGGCTTTAATCTTCCACTAGCAACACCTTCATCTAGATCTGTTTATTCAGCTATTAGGAACAATCTTTGTCCCTCCCTCATTGCCCAGTTCCTCCTCCTGCCAGCAAGTTCTTTGGCCTGACAACTCACCTCTTCAAAATACATTGCAAACCATTTTAGCAGTAGCCAGAAAGAAGGTCCCAAAGTAATTTAGTGTCCGGACTGAGAGAAATAGAGGATAGTGGAATAGACAGCATTTGTACTGTAGGCAACAAAGTCCTTATTTTACTTTTGTGCTGTCAAGACCCTTTGGTTTTAAGAAGCCTCTTTTTTCTAACCTAATTTCTAATCTAGTGTTTGTCTGTCACCCACCTCCCTTTCCAGTACGCTGTAAGAACACTCCTTTGCAGTGGCAATTCAGTTTCCATTTCATAGCCAAACTATGCTCCACGAAAACCAGGTCTTGCCTGTGGAAGTGAACAAGCCCGGGCTATATTGTTAACGTCCCAACTCGGATCTTCAATACTTCTCTCGACCACTTTATTTGTTAGCGGCTTTCACTTTTAGCCCTGGTTAAGGAGGTTCGCGCATTCAGAGTGGCGGCCACCAACCCATCCCTGGCCTCGGTGTTGTTGCCGGTTGGTTTTACACACAGACAGACAGACAGAGCAGCGTTCGTTTGCTTGCCTCACCTGGAAATGCTGCCCCAGTTCATAAACCTGTCCTCGGTGCTCACAGCCGACGCGTTCGCAGCGCGGACAGCAGTCGCCCGGATAGTGGCTGACGTGAATGCAGGCAGGCGGCAGAGCGGCGCAGTCCGTGCGGGCACAAGCGGGCCCTTCCGCCGTGCACTCGCACTGGATGCAGGGGTCGCTATCCAGGGAATACCATTCCCCTCGGAAGTACAGGCTCCCATTGGCATCGCAAGTGCTGACTGGCCCCGCCAGCCCGGGCTGAGTCCCCCCCAGAGCAGCCAGGAGCAATGCCAGGCTCAGCCGTTCCAAAGGATCCAAAGGCATGGCGCGAAACTCCAGGGGCGGCTGGGCAGAGCGGAGAAGCGGGTGGAGAAAATCCGTTTTTCTCCGGGCAAAGGGATCCAGGCCGTGGCTGACAAGCAACCTGGCCGGCCCTGCGCTCCTTTTGCCCTTTTGTGCAGCCGCCCGCCCCGGAGTGAAACCCGAGCACCCCTTCCCCAAAAGGGAGGGCGGAACGTCGGAGCTGGGAGGGGCAGATGCATTGCCCCCCTGCCTGCCTGCCTGCTTTGCCTGCCAGGCTGGTCCCGCGCTCCACCCCGCCTACACATACACATACACACACAGCCCCCGGACCTTCCCCTTCGAACTTCGCACCTCGAAGGATCGCGCTGCCTCCCGGTTCCCGGCTCGGATGCCCCCGCGCCGCCTTTCCCCTCGATGCCCCTTTTTTTACGGCTCTGGGAACGCGAACCGAGGAAGAAATGCAGCAAGCGGCCGGGTCGGATACATTTCCCGCCCTTTGCAAATAGGCTGTTTCCGAGGATGCTGGTCTGCAACGCTGGGCTCGCGGCTGTTTCAGCTTTCCGGACGCGGCTCCTTTAAGAGGCGAGGTTTCCGAGGAACGGGGGGGGGGGGGAGTTACCATAGAGACAAGGAGTTGATGCTCCCGAGAGCTCGCGCGGGAAGGTGAAGAATTGGAGGGGGGGGGGGAGTGGAGGGAGGGGGTTCTCCCCACTCCCCGTGGGGCTGCGGGCAGGGGGTGTTGGTCAGTCTGCGGGCAAAAGCGAGAGGGGGGCGAGGAATAAAGTTGGCAGCACAGTCGAAGCTGGGCCCAATGGAGGGGGAGACTGCGGGGTTAGCTCAAAATGGTGGAGCTGGGGATAATGGAGAACAGGTGGGCTTGTTGGCTTGCAGGGATTAGTGAAGTCTTCCCAAACCTTTTCCTCTTTTACTCCAAAATATCCCCCCCCCTTTTTTTTAACCCAATGTAAGTAAAACGGTTGAATGTTCTTTTTTGATTAAAAGTAAATGGGTTCGTTGGTTGTTATGCAAAGAAAACACTTGAACCAGATTTAAGTAATGTTTATTTTTATTTATTTTATTTATTTATTTTGATTTGTCAATCGCTTACAATACCTATTACTTACTTATACCTATAAGTATATACACAGTTATGAATACATGAAATGGGTACATATAAGAAAAATGAAAGAAACAATAGGACAGGCACATAGGCATGTTGGTGTGCTTATGCACGCCCCCTACAGACCTCTTAGGAAAGGGGTGAGGTCAATGTACCCAGGTTGGGAAAGGTCTGGATCAGTAGGTCTTAAATTATGAGTTTGATCTATTGCTTAATGGCTTCAGGGACTGTAGCTATACTTTGTTGTGAATGATTAATACACAGTGATGATGATGATGATGGCTGATCACACCTTTAGGTTGGATTTGGCAATTTTATCAACCTGTTGAGCCCTTCTCAAAGATTTGGGATAGGCAGATTTTAATTATTAATTTATTTTATTTTATTTTATTTATTTGATTTGTCAATTGCTTACAAGACAATAGGTATAAGTATAAACATGAGTAAGAATACAGGAAATAGGTACGAATAAATGGGGACAATAGGACAGGGACAGTAGGCACGATGGTGCACTTATGCACGCCCCTTACAGACCTCTTAGGAATGGGGTATATAATACAACATTAATAATGATGATGATGATGATGATGATGTGTCGATCGTAGACATTGCCATATCTGGTGACAGCAGAATTGATGAGAAACAACTTGAAAAAAATCACCAGATATCAAGACTTGAAAATCGAACTGCAGAGACTCTGGCATAAACCAGTGCAGGTGGTTCCAGTGGTACTCGGCACACTAGGTGCTGTGCCTAAAGACCTAGGTGAGCTTTTAAAAACAATTGGCAATGACAAAATCACCATTGGTCAACTTCAGAAGACCACCTTGCTGGGATCTGCTCCCATAATCCACCGATACATCACGCAATCCTAAACGCTTGGGAAGTGTTCGACTAGTGATTTGTGATACGAAACCCAGAATAGTTATCTCGTTTGCTGTGTACACTGTTGTTTTTTGTGTCAAATAACAACAACAACAACAACAACAACACTTAAATGGTATTAGTCTTAATGCTGCTTGTGAAGAAATGGGGACAAATTCCCAGGTGTCCTTGCATTGGGCGCCTGTCACCTTCTATTTAATCCATATACCGGTATCTCCTTCTTTCCTCTAATGCATTAGAGCTGGGAATTTCTATAGTTACCTTGGAATTGGACTGTGCCCCCATGTTCCCCTTGCCCAGCTTCTCCTGGGAGCCCTTGAAGCCAGTGCCATCGCTCTGGAGGATGATAGAAGAGCAGCTTGCGCCCAGCGAGAGACTGGAAGTGAAGACTATTTTGGGAATTGATTTCGTGGAGCACAGCTTGGAGCTTCATAATGAGGTTTGGAAGAGGAACTTCAGGCCGACTGTATGACCTGAAAGAGTGGTTTATGCATTTTCCTATTGAAATAGTGCATATAGAGGGGCTTCAAAAATCTCCTCATTTGAATGGGTGTGGATAAGTGGTGGGATGCAAAAATTTTTACTGACGTGGCTTGGTGGGCGTGGCAGGGGAAGGATACTGTAAAATCTCCATCCCCCCCCCCATCCCACCCCACTAACCTGCTTTCCAGCTCCTTTCTCCTGTGCAGGGCAACAAAAGAAGACTCGGGAGGCAGAGAATAGATGGGGGCGGGGCCAGTCAGAGGTGGTATTTGCCGGTTCTCCAAATTACTCAAAATTTCCGCTACTGGTTCTCCAGAACAGGTCAGAACCTGCTGAATACCACTTCTGATGTGGATGGTGTCAAGAGAGTTACCACCTTCACATTTGGGTCCCTTGAGTTTTTGGCAAAGAGCTTAATTGAATAAAAACTTCATTGTATTATGTATATGGAGCTGCTTTAATGTGGTGTGCTTTTTTTTTAACATGGGAACTGTAATCCAAATACTTTTAGAATACTAGGTTGGGGAAAGGTGCTTGAAGGTACACACGTAGGACCCCACCAGCCAGTTTGGTCTAGTAATTAAGGTCTCAGGCTAGAACAGAGGTCTCCAAACTTGGCAACTTTAAGACTTGCGGACTTCAACTCCCAGAATTCTCCAGC